ACAGTGGTGAGGGATACTCCTCGGTCAGTAATCCGATATTATAATCGCGAGCGGTGTCTCGCGGGTCGTTTGCGAGGGGCCCATCCTGGCTAGCCAGATCCGCCTGGGCGCATGCAGTCTTGCTTTTGCGCACCCTAGCCTTATTTTGGTCGGCAGAGACGTTTTCGTGCGGTCTGCCAGTCGCTGCTGATAGCCGATTTATTTATAATCGCGAGCGGTGTCTCGCGGGTCGTTTGCGAGGGGCCCAGCCTGGCTAGCCAGATCCGCCTGGGCGCCTCCAGTCTTGCTTTCGCGGTAACCAGCCTTGTTGTTGGTTGATAAACGTGTTTTTGTGCGGTCTGCCAGTCGCTGCTGATAGCCGATTTATTTATAATCGCGAGCGGTGTCTCGCGGGTCGTTTGCGAGGGGCCCATCCTGGCTAGCTAGATCCGCCTGGGCGCATCCAGTCTTGCTTTTGCGCACCCTAGCCTTATTTTGGTCGACAGAGGCGTTTTCGTGCGGTCTGCCAGTCGCTGCTGATAGCCGATTTATTTATAATCGCGAGCGGTGTCTCGCGGGTCGTTTGCGAGGGGCCCAGCCTGGCTAGCCAGATCCGCCTGGGCGTATCCAATCTTGCTTTTGCGCACCCTAGCCTTATTTTGGTCGGCAGAGACGTTTTCGTGCGGTCTGCCAGTCGCTGCTGATAGCCGATTTATTTATAATCGCGAGCGGTGTCTCGCGGGTCGTTTGCGAGGGGCCCAGCCTGGCTAGCCAGATCCGCCTGGGCGCATCCAGTCTTGCTTTTGCGCACCCTAGCCTTTTTTTGGTCGACAGAGGCGTTTTCGTGCGGTCTGAATGCATGATGCAGCGAAGGCGGCGCGGTTCATCTGGAACTAGGCACCCCACTCGAACGTGCCCCGTCTGTCGCCACACGTCTTTTTAGTCCCAGTTCGTATCTAACGTATCCTTCCAATGTGCGGAACCTCTTTTCTAGAGGGGTTGCCGGGGGGGGGGGGGGATATGCGCTTTCTAGACCTTCACGTTCACAGCGCATTAGAGCCAGATTAATAGAGCCGCCCGGGGGTCCCTCCATAAGTCCATCGCCCAAAGTCTTCACT